TATGGGCCAATGAGCCTCACTTTGTTTCACTGGAAAGTCATGAAGCAAGTCCTCTTGGAAGACATTTCTGGTCACAGGAAAGAAGAGGGTAACTGGCAGCAGTTAACAGATTTATCACAAATAAATCATGCCTGATCAACCTGCTACAACAAAATGACTGAATATGAGGAGTGTAGATGCCATTTATTTCAGCTTTAGCAATGCTTTGAATGCTGTACCCCACAACATTCTCATCTCCAAGTTGGTCTGGTCTGGATGGGTTATGGTCTGGATGGGTGGACAACTGGACAAGTAAAATTGGTTGGATGGCTGAATTCGAAGTAGGGGACTTACTCTACTCAGGGTCAGTAACAAGCGGAGCACTGCAGGGGTCTCTCCTGGGACATGTCCTATTTAACATCTTTATCAATGACTGAGAGGACGTGATGCTGTGCATGCCCATCAAGCTGTCAGATGGCAGCAAACTAGGGTACCACAAAGTACTCCAGAGGACAGGGATGCCATTTAGCTATGGCCAGCTAAAAAGGCTGGAAAAATAGGCCAACAGAAACCTCATGGAATTCAACAAAGCCACGTGCAAGAGGAAGGGATAACGCTTTCGAAGGATACACGATCAGGACTGCCAGACTGGGAAGCAGATTGTCTGGAGAGCCTGATAGAAAGAGTGATTGAAAACTTAAAGCAGGCCAAGTGCATCTCTGTGGACTATATTAACAGAAGCATCATCAGTAAACCAGGGAGACTGATTACTCCCCTCTGTTAGTTCTCTCCAGAATACGACATAAAGCCTTGGGTCCCCAGCACAGGGAAGATATCAGCTCACARGACCAAGTTCAGCAGAAGGCCCTGAAGAAGGTCAGGTGCCGGAGTACTCACTGTGCAAGGAGAGGCTGAGRTAATATGGCTTGTTCTGCCTGGAGAAGAGGCAGCCACAACGTTTTTCTCAAATTAACATCTGCACAGGCAAAGGTTAATCAGATTGCATGGAGAGACACTGAGGGTCCAAGTGACCTTCTAGAGTTTCTTATCAATAATGACATGCAAGAAACAAAGGCACAAGTTTGCTCTGAAAATGTATTAGGAAAAGCATGCTATTACTTGCAACTGGGAAAAAAAATGAGGTGGATTTAGTGAGATAAACCAGACAATATGACATTATTTATACRGTAATTTTTAAGACTAAAGTGCATTTTAACTTTGAAATTTACACCTGTTGGAAAGCATAAGCAATTTATCTCTGTGAGATACCCTTCAATTTTCCCCTTTTCTGATCTTTTACTAGCTGCAACTCAAACTGCATGCAAATATCCAGTCATGGCTTTTCATTTCTGTGCTCCTGTTTGGAAGCTCTCATAATGACAGCAAGCAGTCACAAACTGCCTCCTTAGCAAAGATTCACAGATGTAGAGAAAGGCCCTTCTGGAACAGAAAACAGCACCTRCAAGACTATGTTCTAGAAGACTGCCATGTGCTAAGAATGCAGGGGTAGAAATCGGGTTCGAAACTGGTTTCTGATTTGGCTCTTTGGGTTCYCTAGGTCAATAAAAGTCTTTGGTACCATTATCAAAATGTGTATGCATTCAAAACACCAGCACATTGTGAGGAAAACTAATATCTGTAAAGCAGCACTGTATCTCTGGATGAAAGGGGCTATAGCCACAAAGGGTTTCTACTATTATTTTTATTCTACTATTAATTCCCTTCTGCTATTTTGGTCATGCTGGTTCCTGAGCTTTTGCTCATCTTTGTTTACTGGTGTTTATAGCAGTTGCCATGCAACTTTTTGGATCTTCTTTTACTGTACCATACCCAATGCCAGACTGTTCCATCAGGAACATGGCCCAGAACAGGGAGCTGAGTCAGTCTTCTTCCCTGCCGGTGTCTGTGGCAGGGGCTTGAGCAAAGGTGGACCATAAACAAATAGTTTATTCCTCAGTTAGAGCTGAGGAATTGTTCTGTCGGGGCTGAATTTTCCTCCAGTGAAGACATTCTCATAATGCAGGACAATGCTAATAAAGGCTCTTGTCTTTCCAAGTTGCTCATGCTGGGGTCTCCCACAAAATAAAATTTACAGTTATCTCCTCTGACTCCTCAAACAATGATTCACTAAGAACATATAAAAATCTTAGTCTGGACCTTATTCTAAATAGGTTGCTATTTAGTGCTTCAAATTCATATTTCAGCATACCAGAAATCAAGCATGTGGAAATCAGTCTTACTGTATCTTTATTAGAATTAGTTTGAGATCAGGGTCAATGTAAGGGCTGGAAATATTATAACCTTCTATTGGCAATACAGCAATTACCAATAAAAGGCAATAGAAATTGCAGCAGTTTTGGCCAGCAATATATTAACAGGTTTAGATAGTGCAGCAATCGATACTGTAGAACAGCTAGGAGACAGATTAGAGAGATGCTGCTGCTTCCATGTTACTGACTTGTTCTCGGCCTGGCATAGACTTAAATCATACAAGCAAAGGCCAAGTCCCAGAAACACTCTCTGCTTTGCCTGCTAAATACTTGTCAAGTAAAGTTTGAGACTTGGAGCCCTGCCACCTCAGTAAAAGGGATGAGAACTCCATGAGGACAACAGGGAGAGACACCAGGCAGCTTTCTCCTTGGGACACAGCAAGGTCCATGAGGAAAGAAACTGAGATGATCCTCTCGACAATAAAAGTACTTGCTAAACTCAAGCTCTTGCAGCCACACAACAGTGAAAGACACCGCAGAGTCCTTTGCCTGTTCATTAGTTGCAGAAAAGCAAGTTGAAATTATTCCCCTTGCTATTGCAGACAGAGCATTATAAATATAAACTTGGGAAGATGCATGGTTTTGTTGGGAGCATATAGACCAGACTTTTTTCCGAGTGCACGCTGGTAGATCTGTATATGGTGAGCATTGTCTGGGTTTGAATAAAGAAAAGAGTAAGTTTTAAAGGAGAAGGAATTAACTTATAATGAAATGTGTCCATCACAGTASGTCAAAGGGGAGAATAGTACCATGAAACACCATCTCTCAGCTCTGCTGAAATCTGAAATCTAACTCAGAAAGTCTTTATGTAGACCAAGACTGTGGGGAACAACTTCAAGGAAAGAATTGCTATAGGATATATACAGAGAAAGTCACGTTTGGGGGGATACTAATACACCATATACACTATATTACGCATTCTTCTGTGATCTAAGGTGATGTTAAATGCAGACAGTTATTTCTGCATGTTTCAGATTAACATCCTACTATGGGAAACGCAAAGATAGGAGATGTACAGTAACATCCTAGTATGAGAAAAGATAAGACAGGCAAGKTCTGTAGCAGAGAAATGAGAGGTGTATTTTAATCACACAAGAATGCAAAGAATTGTTATATTGTGCTTCATACAGAGAAACATTAACCATATAGACAAAGACAGTTTTAAGCAAAATGCCACCACTGACAGAGGGGCATGGTGTCAAAGGGATAATGCATATTCTGTATTCAGTGCTTTGCAGCTATCGAGCCAATGTTAAAAGGGAGATCTTCAGAGTTAAATTACTAATTTTTGATTACTGTAGTCTTCATTGTCATACCTCTCTTGGTTATAGTCTTCATTGCATATTCACAAATGGTTTATACCAGTGAAATTGAATTAATCCTTCATTGCCCCTAAGAGCTAAATGTGATGGACTGAGATGTTTAAAAAAGMTACTCACACCTGCTTTTGGTGATTACTTTTTCTTTCTTGATTAAATGCTTGACTTGTCCAGCACACTGAAACTAATTAAATGAGATGCAACACTACTCACTCCAAGCCCCAAGATAGCAGCTTTTATCAGGCCTGCCTCTTATCTCTATTATGAGATTGAGAGGAGGAATCCATAAGTCTGTTATATACTCTAGTACACAAAAACATTACTGTATTCTCTTAAAAGTCTATATGTGGGAAGAAAGAAAAAAAAAGGCTTGGTGATGCTTTGTGATATCGTTATCTATGTGATATCCTGCAGTATCACTATGACTTCATTGCTTTGGCAGTAGTTATTTCACCAATGAATAATTTAACGACSAGCTAATTACTAGTTTAAAGATAGCATACAGGTTTCTCTTTTTCCACTGTTCACCTGAAAACATACTTAAGTTACAGCAGCCACTGTTACTAATATCACTTTCCTCCAAAATTTAAGCCAAATAATAAGACCTAATACAGTTTTTGGATTTTTACGATCCTTGGGTAACATAGTAAGGTGACTATTTACCATTTCATTACTACATACAGTCACTTCTAGCAATATCCTCAGTTTTCTCTTGTCTTCAATGAATTTCACTAGTATAATGATCTATTTGGCCACTCTTTTGCGCATATTTTTATTTTTTTGCAGACAAGCTGCCAATAAAAGAATCACGGTGTTGAAATGCTCAATGGCAAGAAAGGAGAGCTGCAAAACGCGCCGCTACAAGCAGGTTTGCGGCTCGCTGACCAAGGTGGTGGTTCTGCTGCCGACCGCAGCGCATCCCAGTGGGGCCGGARCCCTCTGGAGAAGCGTCCCGGGCAGCGCAGCTCCCTGCCGACATTCCCACCCGCTCTCCCGCAGCCACTGGCAATTCTCACCCAGGACACCAGGGTTATTTCCTATAGGAAACTGCCTAGGAGCATCCCGCGTGCAGACAGGCGTTTTGCTGTGCAAATCCCAGCACGCGGATTTAGTAAGCACAGGACCCAGCTAAAAAAGAAGAACTAACCGGGTACCTCAGTGAGTAAGAGTTACGCGAGGCAGCACGGCTGCAGCTCTAGCGCTGCCACCAGAGTGCCCCGCTCGAGGGATACAACCCGACCAGCGCCCTCGCGTCTCTTYCGCGTTATTTTCATTACTTCTATTAAAAGTCTTGCTTTCTCAGTCCCGCTGCGGGACGGACGAGCGCGGAGGGCGCTTCTGCGGGGGGGGGGGGTCACCCCCGCGGGGCGCCCGGCAAAGTTAGGGGGTTCCCGGGCGAGCCCGGCGCGGGTTCCGCGCGGGCGGGACTCACCTGCGGCATCCAGCAGGGCTAGGGGAGCCGCCACGGCGCCCGCGGGCGGCGGCGACATCGCCCGCGCTCCTCGCGGCACCGCGCCCGCCCCGGGGGCAGCGCCGCGCAGCCGCGGGGCGGAGCGGAGCCGAGCGGAGTGGAGCCGAACCGAACCGAGCCGAGCCGAGCGGAACCGAGCGGAGCGCAGCGAGCGCCGCTGCCCCGCGGCCTCCTCCGCGCGCCCCTCCCGGCACGGGCGTGAAATGGCCCCAAGGGCAGGTGGAGGGTCGTGCCCGGCACCATGGAGCCCCCCCGCTTGGGTGTTGGTCGTGCCCAGGCACTATGGGGTCCCCCCGCGGGTGGTGGGTCGTGCCCAGGCACCATGGGCCCCCCTCACTGTGTGCGCTGCCTCTGCAAGACACCCCCGTCCTCCTCACCGGCTTTCTGTGCCCCTGGRGAGCAGCGGTGCTGGTGCCCATGGGACTTGTGTGTGAGGGCTGGGTAACAGCTCCTCTTTGGTCCGCACTGGAGTCATGGAGTCATGGAATCATTATGGTTGGAAAAGACCTTGGAGATCCTCAAGTTCAACCGTAAACCCATCACCACCATGCCTGCTAAGCCATGTCCATAAGTGCGTCATCTGCACATTTCATAGRTGCTGCCAGGGGTGGTGACTCCACCACTTTCCCTGGGCAGGCTGTTCCAGTGTTTCCCCACTCTTTCCAGGTAGATTTTTTTCCTAATATCTAATCCGAACCTCCTCTTGTCCTATCAGTAGTTATTTTGGAAAAGAGACCAACACCTGCCTCACTATGACCTCCTTTCAGGTGGTTGTAGAGAGCAATAAGGTCTCCTCAGAGCCTCCTCTTCTCCACACTAAGTAACCCCAGCTCGCTCAGCTGTTCCACATAAGGTCTGTGCTCCAGCCCCTGCACCAGCTTCATTCCCCTTCTGTATAAAGGGTCCYGTGTAAAAACAGAACAGCCCAGATCTCTACCTTTTGTCCTAGGTATAGAAAAGATTTGAACACTGGTTTGGGTCTCATGTACAGGACAGTTGTACATGAGCCCAGAAAGCTCTTGTGTAATCCCTTAGGCAACTGGAAAACATGGGTGCCTTCAGCTTCACCATGAGGCTTCTCCACACAGTCTTGCCACTGCCCACCCTGGTGTCCCAGCAGCCCAGCCCAGCTAAGCTGAGCTCTTCATACAGTCTCTGACCTGACTAAAGGGTGCACTCTGGCAGTCTGCTCGCGCTCAAGATCTTTCCTCTGCACACAATCATCCTCAGCCTGGGACTGGAAGAAGTGGCCAGAAGCTAAGACCTGATGCAGRCTTCCCTATTGCTCAAGGAACAAGGCTACTTGCTTGCTGCTATTTCTCCCTTTAAGATACAATATCTGTTTTTACATTTCAGTTGGACACCTTTCTCCTGCAGACTATGTACACCTACCATGAACAGTTCATTTTGAGGCTGACCTAGTGTGTGTCTGGGGAGCAGGAGGGCAAGTGCTGGATCTGGATCTGTGCAGCAGTCAATAACTCAATTCATAGTGTTCTGGCAGTGTCTCAGGCTTAGTTTCACGTCTTGATATGCTCTTGGCCTATAGCATGGGCCAATCTGTCACCTCGTGGAGATCAGAATTGCACAGCCTTTGTCTTACCTCCTTTTTAAAATCAAATATAGTTTAAAAGAAAGCATCATGGCAACCAGAAATAATATATAAATATTATGTGTTTATAAAGCAGACATCAGAAACAAAAATCTCTCAGAAAAAGAGATGGGAGTCTGAATAGTCAAGATTGAAGGGCTCGTCTTTTCCTTACTTGCTCTCCACCAGTTTCCAAACCTCCTTGGCTCTCTCCTCCTCTCTCAGTTCTTACTCCCACAGCAGATCCTGCTGTTACATTGCCGCTACACGGAAGCCCTTGGYGTTATCCTGCAGGAATGATCTCAGGAACAGTGTGGGAACAACTGTGAATAAACAGTAAACAGACATCACCTTGTTTATGTGCCTCCTGTCCGATTTGCAAGACATCTCTGTAAAGGAGAGCATCAGTTGACAGGTTGACACGCATTTTTTTTTGCACCAATATAGTTTTTACTTGCAAGGACAGTAACTCCCRCTATAAACTGTTCCTATTTTTCTTTGGCTCAGATTTCTACATGTGTATACATATATATGTAAACTACTTAAGTCTTCAGTTTCTTTCCCCACAAAAAGATCAGATGAAAGGAGGTAGCTCTCTCACAAAGTGTTTGTAGACTAAGGRGTCGGCTGAGCTTGGAACTAAGGCCCGTGATAAACTCTTTCCATTCCAGCTTAAAGAAGGGGCTTTCATTTTGTCTCCTGTGACCTGAAGGAATTGAGGGCTCTCATCTGCATAGAAAAGGGAAAAATGAAGATCAAGGTAGTGTTAGTAATTAATAAAATAATGGATTCTGAAGACAGAAAATGTGATTGTAAAAATRAAATATTTCTTTGAGTGAAAGTGACCACTAATAAGAACAATAAGAAAGCTCCAAAGTCTGTTAGAGGCTTGGGAATGGCTACAGATAGAAATTTCCATCAAGAGTAAATAACAGTGAGAATTCCGAAAGGCTTTAATTCCCCAGCTAGAGTTCAGAAAACCAATAAGATTCTGGATTATGCTACGGATTTAATACAGACCTCACAGAGAACAACCTAACACTGAGTTGGTGCAAAAGGTGGTCGCCAGCGGGTATGGAGGTGACTAAAGGGAGGACTAGATCCTGGAGGAGGTTGGTACCTGAGGTGCACCCCAGGAACCAGACTTGAGGCAAAATCATCATTGTTGTTAGGCGTAAGGAGTACATGAAATGTGTCAGCAGCGCAAAGTTGAGGGACAGTATATTAGTGATGACTATAGAGATTTCATTCTAGTCTATTAGAAATGGGATGAGGTTCAGTTCATATATTTAGAAACTAACGAGGGCTTTGCTATATCTGTGCAGTCTCCCCGCTTCTGTGAAACTGAGGAGGGATCTGTGTATATGACTGGCTTACAAGAGTCTGCTGCAAAATCTGCAAAAAWCACATGTGCAGGGTGCTTTAATATCTGTTGTTTATCTCAACAAATTGTGCATGTGGCAATTGTGCATAAACTTTCTTTATTTATGCTCCTAGATATCTGTAAAGCCAAAATATGTGTGGAGTTTTTTCCCACCATCTTGATGTGTAACTTGGACCCAGATATTCTTAAGCGATATTTTTAAGGTCTCTCTTTCTGAGATACCTAGCTCATGTGCCTTGCTCACATGCAAAATTAAATCATTTGCTGGATTTGTGCCTACAAGAAACACCCCCACACACTCTGCAGCCAGGCTGGCAAGGCTATTAGGAGATTTTCTGATGTGTGTAGCGTGGTACATGCTCCATTTATTAGGATTGTCTTGGCCTTTTTGGCTAAAAAATATCCTGTCAGCATAGGGCCTGAAGGCCTCCATGGTGCTCTTGATTGCAACTTCRTAGGTTTTGGTCTTTTGTCCTGGAAGTCGTCAGTATGCTGATGAATGGTTTGGACTTGAGGATGGTGACAGGTGAAGTTTGCATCCCTGWGTCCCTGACATCTTCGTTCTTTATTTTAATGAAATCATTCTCTTCTGTCTTTCCATACAGGTCATGTTTTCTAGGCCAGTGGGTTTTCCCATTGCTTTCCTCTAGGCCCTGCATCATCTATATGGGCCACATTTGTCTTACGATCTTGCTCTAGCCAGGCAAGATTCAAGACCATTTTGAATTCTAGGCCTGTCCACCAGACTATTTCCTCTAACATACTCAATAGTTTCTCCTGATTTTATGTCCTCTACAAATTCAATATCCTCTGTAGTCCATCAAGGTCATCAATGAAAGTATTGAATAGCACCTGATATTGGAAGTACCTCAGCACTTTCCATCTTTTAGACCACTAATGGACATGACTCTCCAGATTCTTTTCCATCCCATCTATAATATTATCATTTACTCTATTTCTCTGTAGAATGCACTAATCTTATGCTAAGGCCTATTAAATCAGCTTTGTTCTGTTACCAGGGTTATTCTGTGAGTAACTCCTTTTGGAATATGTTCATGTTTTTGAGAGAGATTTGTTTATTTGTTTTTARTACAATTCAAAGCATGCAAACAGCCCCCGCCTCCTACATGACTTCTGCTCTCAGCAGGAGTTATTTTCCTTGGAATCAGAAGTCCAGTCATAGGGACTATCAATGGGAAGCAACTCACACAACCCAACCTTGACCCTCTTAAATCTTCCCCATGGTACTCAAACTGCTGTCATATTCCTRAAGAAGTTTGGGGCCTGTTTCCTCTTCCCATTATATGAATCACTAACTGAAAGGACACCAGTCATGGGTAAGACTAAACTCACGACTTGAGAACTGAGATTCTTCCTTATTGAGAAACAACTAAGCTCATCCAGTGGCAGAGGACTTCGACAGTCGAATTGCACTGATCAGAATTTATAAACAGTTTTATTGGCATGATCACTGATACAATCCCTCTAGGAATACTCTGCTTTAGTTCAGCTGGGCAGTATAAGGAAATCATGCAGGAAGTGGAAAAAAGCTTCAAGGTAAGTCACTCTAAGGCAAAAAGTCAATGGCTATAAAAAGACGATTGCTGGGCAATTCACTGCAAAAAAGATTTGCTTCCTGGTCCCAGCTATATTATAAGGATGCCTTTAACTAACAGAAACTTTAAAGGACCAACCTGAGAAAAGACTCAGCTCAAGATGACGTAGCTATACGTAACATTATCTACAGAAATCTAAGATACATGAATGACACCTAGGTATATGTATGTCAAAGGCTGATCAAAAGTCTTTAAGTGTCTAATAGCCATTTCATCCATTAATTGATCCAGTTCATTTTTGAACTCTGGTAAGCCTYTAGCACTCACAAAATCCTGTGACGAGTTCTGAGGATCATGTACGTGTTGTCTGAAGAACCACCTTGTTGGTTTTGAGCCTTCCACCTGCTAGTTGCATCTGATGACCTTCAATTCAATCCAATCCGGCATCAATAAATACTTGTTCCCTGTACATCTTTGCTATACCACTC